TTAGCTTTGAGGCTTGGCTCCAGCTCTTAGGCCTCCGGCTGAAAGTAGGTTTCTGGCCTTTGCTTACAATGTTGCGAATCTGCTGGCTGAAGTCTGATGGTATTTGTTATAGAGTTTCTTAAACTGCCCGCTCAGAGGCCTGCAGTGGCAGGCGGGGAACTTTGGAATCCTCCGTCACTGAGACAACCAAGCCTCATGTTAGATTCAAGCTGCCTAGCTGCCGGTCGCCATCTTGGCTGGCAGTTAATTTGCATATCGCCCTGATTAGCCAATGGGAAGGGTAGCGGTCGTACGCCAATTATCATATTTCTCTTTTATTAGATAGGATATATATATAGATATCATATATATATATATATATATATATATATATATATATATATATATAGGATCGATTATATAGGTTTCGATTATAGAACCCAAACAAACCAGATACCTGCTTTCGGCAGCAGAGGCCTCAGACCTGGAGCCAAGCCTCAGAGCTAAAGCTGGCCCAGAATAAAAAAGAAAAAAAGAAAAAAGGAGCGGTTGGGAGCTTCAGTCCCAGCCTGAAAACAGCCCTCAGCCCCTCACCCAGACTGGCCAGGCACCCCAGTGGGGACCCCCACCCTGAAGGGTGTGTGACCAGCTGCAAACAGCCATCATCCCCTCACCCAGGCTGGCCAGGCACCCCAGTGGGGACCCCCACCCTGATCCAGGACACCCTTCAGGGCAAACCAGCCAGCCCCACCCATGCACCAGGCCTCTACCCTATATAGTAAAAGGGTAATATGCCTCCCAGCACCGGGTTCAGCGGAGCCATGAGGCCTCCTGGCACCGGGATAAGCATGACAGGGGGCAGCACCCAAACCCCCTGATCGCCCTGTGGCTCTGTGTGTGACAGGGGGTGGGGCCACAACCTCCCTGTCCACCCTGCTCTGTTCGTGACAGGGGAAGGCGCCCCAACCCCCTGATCAGCCCTGCTCTGTGCCTGATAGGGGAGAGCTCCCCAACCTCTGATAGCCCTGCGGCTCTGTGTGTGACGGGGTAGAGCCATAACCTCCCCATCGGCCCTGCCCTGAGTGTGACAGTGGCGGCGCCCCAACCCCCTGATTGGCCCTGCTCTGTGGGTGATAGAGGGCTGCGCCCCAACCCCCTGATTGGCCCTGCTCTGTGCGTGACAGGGGGCAGTGCCCCAACTCCCTGATTGGCCCTGCTCTGTGCGTGACAGGGGGTGGGGCCGCAACCTCCCCATCGACCCTGCCTTCAGTGTGACAGGGGGCGGTGCCCCAACCCCCCAATTGGCCCTACCCTGAGCGTGACTGAGAGTGGCATCACAACCTCCCAATCCGCCCTGCTCTGTGCATGACAGGGGGCGGTGCCCCAACTCCCCAATCAGCCCTGCTCTGAGCCCGACCAGGGGCTGCACCTAGGGATTAGGCCTGCCCTCTGCCACCGGGTAGCAGGCCTAAGCCAGCAGGTGATTATCTCCGGAGGTGTCCCAGACTGCGAGAGGGCACAGGCAGGGCTGAGGGACCCCCCGTCAGCCCCGAGTGCACAAATTTTTGTGCACCGGGCCTCTAGTGTATATATATATATATATATGAAGCTGCCTATTGTCTTCACTAGCAGAAAGGTGTGGACAAGGAGCCTGGAATGCTGGTGACCCTTGAGCCCTGGCAAAGGTCAGAGACAATGGTAGCTGAAGCAACTTCCCTACCAGGTAGTCATGTAAATACTTACTGATAAGAGAGTCTGTCTATTACTGGAAATTGCCTGCCTAAGGACTATAGATGTATCCCAAAATGATTAAATGGATGGCAAGGCCTGAGCACAAGTGGAGTCCTCCCTCTTGCTTTGGGCTCCCGCCTGGACCCCCAATTTCCAAATTATTATTTCTTGTCTAGTCTCTGTCATTTGTGTGCGGCCCCTCTTCCAGAGCCGAACCCTGAACCACGTGGGATGTTGGTCATCACATATATGTTTTTAAATAAAATATACAAAAGCACATATAATTTTGTTAAAATAACTTTTAAATAACTGATGTAACATTTCAAATTAAAATTATTTCAGAAGTGAACACTCAGGATTTGAACATTTGTAAACAAATATATACAGTATTAGCACAGATTCCATATTCTACTAGTATGTCAATGTTCTTAACTGCTAATCTGTGATATTTGTACCTGTAGCTTAACTCTGCCTATAAAATCCTGTAAAATCCTATTGTATTTTGAATGTGTTCACAATTGTCAGTATTTATTAAACCATTACTTCCTGCACCACAGGTTTTACATTTTGTGTTACATGCACCTGTCTTTCACCACAGTCCATGGTCATGCTTATTAAATCAATTTTACCAGTAGGAATTCTTTTTTGCTCAAATTAAATTTATGAAATAAGACAACAACTTGAAAAACTATATTCGGCTATTTAAAAATTCCATTTATTCTGTCCAAATAACACTCTTCAATTTGATTCCATCATTTCTATGACTTTTGGGGGAGGGGTATGACAGTATAAAATACAGCCTTTCAAAAAGCAACCCAGTCAGCTCCCAAGTTCCTATAGCTAATTACAGTTTTAGTCGCACATAAATTACCCACTTCTGCCTCCGTGGTTTTTTATTTAGGTTTAAACAGCTTTCTGCTCACACCAGGAAGAAAGGTATGGCATAGACAGGTTTCCTGTGCTTCCTTCCGCCCTGAAGCTATGAATATCCTAGGGGAAACCCCACTGGAGACTGCAAGCTGGCAAGAGCTTTTGAAAGTTCCCTTTCCTCTGTTGGCCCACTCGCAGTGGGTGTTCAGCAAAGCTGCATTTTTAATCTGATCATTTGTAACTGAAGCATTATGACAGGTGAAGAACTAGTCCATGCCTCTACCTGAAAGTTATGTAGAAGCCATTTTTGTCCTTAGAAGAAAATATGAAAATAAAGGTACTCAAACCACAATGTTTTAAATTAGTATTTCTATTTGGAAGGTCATATTATAATTATTTTACTTAGAATGATCAGGCAACTGTCATTTTTATCTCATGTCTGATGTTTTATAAAGATTTATTAATGTTAAGTAACTAGAATATGTTCATTATTTTCTTATTTTAATGAAATAAATCTATAACCAAGTGGTCCAGAAGTTAAAGAAATGCTTTCATGTTAGTTAAAAACTAACTAGAGACCTGGTGCACGGAATTCATGCATGTGGGGGCAGTCCCTCAGCCTGGCCTGCACAATCTCCAATCTGGGACCCCTTGGGGGATGTCTGACTGCTGTTTAGGCCCAATCCCGCAGGGCTTAAACTGGCAATTGGACATCCCTCTCACAATCCGGGACCATTGGTTCCTAACCGCTCACCTGCCTGCCTGCCTGATAGCCCCTAACCACTCTGCCTGCTTTCCTGATGCCCCTAACTGCTCCCCTGCTGGCCTGATTGCCCCTAACTGCTCTCTGCCTACTGGCCTGATCACCCCTAACTGCTCTTCTGCTGGCCTGATTGCCCCTAATTGCTCCCTTGCCTGTCTGATGCCCCTACCTGCTCCCCTGCCAGTCTGATTACCCCTAACTGCCTCTGCCTCAGCCCCGCCACCATGGCTTTGTCCAGAAGGATGTCCAGAAGAGGTCTGGTCTAATGAGCATATTACCCTTTTATTAGTATAGATATCTGCTCTCTATCTAAAAATTTAGCCTAGCTTACTATGCTATCACAATCATAAAGTTCTCTTATTTTTTAATAACAAAATAATATGCAGTTGGGACAACTTTCAAAACAAATTGACTTCTTATGGTAGATTCAAATGCTAATTTAGCACCAGTGTGAATATTTAACTGTCAATATTTACTTATACTCACAAATATTTCATCTATTCCATTTTTCTTTTCTTTTCTTTTAAATGATTTTGAATGTAAAGTGTACAATATAACGATGATATACATAGATATAAAAATGACTACTAGATGAATTAACATATATTCATATAGCTGCCAATATTTTTGTGTGTTTAGAGCAACTTAAATATACTCCTAATAGGTGTAATCTTTGTCCTCAGGTAGTTTCCAGTCCATTAACCCTACTAAAAATCAAATGGATTAATATGGCATTGCTTATTGCTCTTAAGCAGGTGTGCTTTGCTTCCTAGACGTACAATCCTTTGAGTCCCCATTAGATTATTTTACTGGAGAATGATGTCAGAATCCCTTTCTGACATCAGTTCATCTCTTTAAGTTACTCTTGGTTGTCCAATTGGTGATTCTAGTTTAATAAAAAATATATTGATGATAAAGTCAGAAACTTCATGAAATGAAATTTATAAGGCAAGTACCAAAGTTCCATAGAAAAGTATTGAAGTAGGTATTTCACCAAGGAAATAAGATTGAGAAGAAGTTTGGGCAAAGTAAATGGGTACCAGAGCAGAAGCAGAGTAAGAAAGGGATGCCAACCTGACTCATGGCCCTGAAATACACGGTAAGGAAGAATTCAAAGTGCACTCCTGAGAGAGTGCAAAGGATTCTACACCATTAGGAAAAATACATGATTTACTTTAGCTGACAAAACGTAGAGTTTGCATTGATATAGTGATGCTGGAAGCCGAGCCACCCTGAGTCGCTGCAGGGAAGAAACATCTGCATAGCTTATGTCTCAAGGGACCTGGTGTATATGGCATACTGTTCTTAATATGTTTGTTCCCCTTCTTAGCACTATGTGTTTTAACCAAGGTCACCTCTCCAAGAAAGGTTGTTCCCCCAGGTGGGGATTTTTATCAGTAAAACCCCTTAAGTGCCAGGCGGGTAGTTAATCACTTTACCTACAAACAATCACGCTTAAGCTACATAATCTTTACTCCCTGGAATGGAGCTAACAAATGCCCTAACCTTTGGAAAAGAATGGATAGGATTAAGATCAACTGATATGGGAAGTACTTAAGGATCTTGGCTGAAACTCGGGGGATGTGGCTGGCTGGGTCGTATGTTGACAATTTTCCCTGATAGCTGGTCCTGCTGCCGCGGCTGCGCTGTGGCCACCATGGGGAAGCGACAGCACCAGAAAGACAAGATGTACATTACCTGTGCTGAATACACTCACTTCTATGGTGGCAAGAAACCAGATATTCCACAAACAAATTTTCATCCTTTACCTTTTGACCACTGCAGTCTCTCTCTGCAGCCCTTCAGCTACCCGGTCTGCACCCCTGAAGGCGTCGTCTTTGACTTGCTAAACATCCTTCCTTGGCTTAAGAAGTACGGGACCAACCCCAGCAACTGAACTTTGCAAAGAACAGTGAAGAGAAGTACCACTGTCCAGTGCTATACACCGTGTTCACCAACAACACCTACATCATGGCCATCAGGACCACTGGCAATGTCTATGCCTATGAGGCAGTGGAGAAGCTCAATATCAAGGCCAAGAGCTTCCGAGACCTGCTGACAGACGAGCACTTCTCCCGGCAGGACATCATCACCCTCCAGGACCCTACAAATTTGGACAAATTCAAAGTCTCCAACTTCTTTCATGTTAAGAATATCATGAAAATAACCAACCCATGTTCTGGGCTGCATATCTGGCGCTTTGGCCAGACAGGTCATGCTGTGCTATCTGTTCCTAAAACACATAGATAGGAAGGTACTGACATCAGGCCAGGCCTTGAGATATGGTCTCATGGCCCCTTCCCAGCATGCAGGCCTTCTTTCTCAGAAGGCCCAGAAGTCTCATTCCAAATTTGGGAGACAAAGGACTGGAAAAAGTATAAATAAAGAGAGTTTCCGCCATATTGGGGGGCCCAGAATTTGAAAGACACATTTTTGTATGGGCCTCCACAGAATTTAATAATAAAATGTAACTCCTGTAGTCGGCACTGCAGTTCAGCTTCTGCTTCAGCAGGGTGCTGTAACTGTAGTCAGCTGGCCAGCTTAATAAAGGCTCTTAAATTTAAATTCTGAGTCGGTGGTCTATCTCGCTGAGTGAACCCATAACACCCAGATGAAGAAAAGGCCAAACAGGACCCATCTTATTATTTGAAAAATACCAATGCCGAGACCCGAGAAACACTGCAGGAGCTCTACAAGGAGTTCAAGGGGGATGAGGTCCTGACGGCCACCATCAAAGTCCCAGAGAAGAAGAAGGAGGACAAGCTGAATGCGGCCCACTATTCCACTGGGAAGGTTAGCGCCTCCTTCACCTCCACCACCCTGGTTCCAGAGACCACCCACGAAGCAGCCGCCATGGACGAGGACGTGTTGCGCTACCAGCTTGTGAAGAAGAAGGGCTACCTGCGGCTGCACACCAACAGGGGAGACCTCAACCTGGAGCTGCACTGCGACATGACACCAAAAACCTGCGAAAACTTCATCAAGCTCTGCAAGAAGCAGTATGACAATGGCACCCTCTTCCACAGGTCTATCAGGAATTTTGTGATCCAGGGAGGTGACCCCACTGGCGCAGGTACGGATGGGGAGTCTTACTGGGGAAAACCCTTCAAAGATGAGTTCCGGCCCAACCTCTCGCACATGGGCCGAGGCATCCTCAGCATGGCCAACTCGGGGCCCAACACCAACAAGTCTCAGTTCTTTATCACCTTTCGCTCCTGCGCCTACCTCGACAAGAAGCACACCATCTTCGGGCGGGTCGTTGGGGGCTCTGACACAGTAACAGCCGTGGAGAATGTGGAGAGTGACCCCAAAACGGACCGCCTTAAGGATGAAATCTGCATCGACTACACCATGGTGTTTGTGGACCCCTGCGAGGAGGCTGATGTGCAGATCGCCGGGGAGCGGAAGAAGAGGCAGCCCCCGAGAGCACAGTGAAGAAAAGCCAGTCCAAGTCAGGGAGCCAGGGCCCCCCTACCTACCGCCAGGGGGTGGGCAAGTACATCAACCCTGCAGCCACGAAACGTGCAGCTGATGAGGAACCATTCACCAGCGCAGCTGTCCCCGTGGCCAGGAAGCAGCCCAGTGGAGGCTTCAAGGACTTCAGCGCGTGGTAGCAGCAGGCCTGTGCCCGCCCAGCTTCCCTGCTCCTGACGTTGACATTACCTCAGCTCTCCTGAAGTGCCTGCAGAAGCCGGGAAAGCTGCCTCCTCCTAGGAGCTGTCTCCTCTACCCTGGGGCTCTAAAAGATTCCTGTTCCCCTCCCACCTCTTCTCAACGCTATGATCCTTGGGTGGGCACAGCCCACCATCTCCTCCTGCTCAGCACGCTGAATTCTAACTCCGTTTCATCCTTGGTTTCTCACCCCAAACCTCAATTCCGTCAGTAAGTCTCAACAGTTCTTCCAGAATGCACCTGGCTCTTCTCCCAGCTCTGATGCTCAACACCAGGTCCAAGCCCGGTCTCACCTGCCTCCTCCTCTGGCCCTCGTGCACGGCCACACCGACGCTGAGTCACCTTCCCACAGCTGCTGACCTGACGGTGGCTCTCCACTGTGCCCGTCCCTCTGTGGTCTCCCTGCCCGTCAGCTGTCTAGCTCCTCTGCACCTTCAGTCACAGTGGTCCCTCACTTCTTCACGACCCCTTCATACCACCCTCCAAGCTACAGATGTCTGTGAACTCACCCGGGAAAGGCTTTTTGCACCAGCGCTGGCTCCAAGAGCCTGACAGACCCAGGAGGTGGCAGACAGGTGGGTGTGTGACAGCACAGGGCCCCGGCTGCCTCTGGAGGAGACCCTGTGCCCCCGTGGGAGTGGCTGGCCCCAGGGCCTGTCGTTCAGCAGCAGAGTCAAGCACCTGCTACTGCAAAGGAGATGCTGGACATGGAAGCTTTATTTCTGAACCTCACACTGACACAGAGGCGTGGGGAGGCTGTGTGCTCGTGTTTGGCAGTCCAGCTCAGAGGGGGCCTCCGGGCTAGGCCAGGCTGCAGCCCCAGGGAGCGACCCCCAGGTCGGCCCAGAGCCTTTGACAAATGAGGTTTACATTCTATAGGTTATTTTGGAGCTTAAATTGTAATTTTCCAGAAATTAAAAGCACTTGGATTTTTTAAGTACCTGGTGAGGTCATCAGGTAAATTAAAAGACTTTTGAAAAATTAAAAAAAAAAAAGAAGAAAAGATCAACTGGTATAAATACAGATGTAGCAGGAGAAATAAACACAGAACCTGGCTGGAGATCCTGGCTAGAACCTGGCTAGACTGCTGATCAACTGAACACTGTCTCCATGTCATTCCTTCTTTGCCGACTCCATCCACACCTTTGGGAACCCCTGGGCCTGCTGTTTCCCCAGGTGAGGATTTTTATCAGTAAGACCCCTTAACTAAGTGCCAGCTGGGTAGTTAATCACTTTAACTACAAACAATCACGCTTAAACTACATAATCTTTACTTAGAATAATCTCCTTCAGTTACTTCCTTGTAGTTTAATAGAACAATAGAGTAACCTTGGAATGGAGATAAGAAACACCCTAGCCTTTGGAATAGAATTGATAGGATTAAAATCAACTGGTATAAATACAGATGTAACAAGACAATAAAGGCAGAACTTGGCTGGAGATCCTGGCTAGAGAACCTTGCTATGATGATCAACTGAACGCTGCGCTGCCTTGCTGCCTCCGTGTCATTCCTTCTTTTCCAACTCCATCCACACCTTTGGGAACCCCTTGACCTGCTGGGGCTGGACCCCAGCATAGTGATTTCCTTGGAACTAGAAGAAGTCACAGAAAGAGAAGGAAATATGGAAGAGGGATGTGCTCATAAAGATTTCCAAGAATAAAATAATAGGTGAAATTTCAACTTCTTGAAATTTAATTTATTGGTTTAGAAATGTACGTATTGTAGAAAACTGAGGTAGTGAGAGGAAACACCCATAGTAATAACTCTGGGACTCTAATTGGAGTGAAGTTGGATTTCTGTTTCTGCAAAGTTTCTCTGTTATTTGTCTTAATATATGATGGTAAGGCCTGATAGTCAGTCTGATACATATTCAGAAACAGTATTACACCAGCATATTTGTCTGACCAAATCTGTATCTGATATTCAGGAAAGAGTTATAAATCATCACTATGTTTCCTACCTCTGAGATGTTAGTGGATATCAAATATCTCATCTTGCCTGAGAATCCTGTGATTCTTTTACAGTAAGTCTAAACCACCACCTTTTCCACTGTACCAGAAAATAGAGGTTCTCCCTATTTAGAAGTTACTTCATATGTATCATAAAGATCAAAGTAAAGAGTGATTTTTGTGTGTGTCTTTTTACCACACATCACTTTTCTAATCATTGTCAATATAGGATTTCACTTTCTTCCAAATCTTTGGAGTAGTTATGTCTTTATTATTTATGTATTTTTTCTTCCCCATACTTGAATTTAATTAATGATTTAGAGCAAGGGTGGGCAAACTTTTTGACTCGAGGGCCACAATGGGTTCTTAAACTGGACCGGAGGGCCGGAACAAAAGCATGGATGGAGTGTTTGTGTGAACTAATATAAATTCAAAGTAAACATAATTACATAAAAGGGTACGGTCTTTTTTTTTTTAGTTTTATTGATTTCAAACGGGCCGGATCGGGCCCGCGGGCCGTAGTTTGCCCACGGCTGATTTAGAGGCAGGTCTTAAGCTATTTCATCTTCTTTAGCTGGTATGCATTCAAATACTTAGAAATGAAGCAAATGATAATTGTGAGACTTTTTAATATCATGCTAGATCATGTCTTAATAAGCATCTCTAATGGTCATCTATCTCTTTTATGAAATTTAACTTTATTGGAATAACTTCACAGCTGATTGGGATTCTGCTGTTCTACAGTCCTTTATATTTACAGGTTAACTTTGCAGAAAAGTGTAAGGTATGTTAATTCTCTGTTTATTTCCCACAGGAAAAAAAAAAAAAAAGGACCTCAATAGTTACAGCCCAATTACCTTACAAGATAATAACCAGTTTGTGCATAATTTAACAATCATATCTTGTTACTTGCCCTAGTTGACTATGTACATCTCTATTTTTTAATTTTATTTTTAGAACATCTCATATCATTCTGCCGAGTTTAATGGATTAAATAAAATTTTACCAGGTACTCACTAGCTATTTGTGTAAGAATTAGGTTCTAAAACATTGAGAAATGTGCTTCTACACAGCTCTTGCAATATAGTGTGTATAACAGAAGATTATGTTAAGCAGATAAAAACAGAGCAGATATCTGTCAGGCCACTGGAATAGTTCCTTCAATGACTGCCCTCACTGCACCTGAAATTTAAAGCATAATTCCTTTGAGGTATTCCTACCAAACTGGCCTGAAATCTCCCTGAAGTCTGCCCTAGAGGTAAGAGTTCTGATATAATATCAATTTTCACAGATCATCTATACAAAATTTTAGCAACAATGTTCCAAGTCACTTCAATTTTCCTTCCTTCCTTCCTTCCTTCTTCTTCCCTCTCTGCCTCCCTTCTTTCCTTTCTTTTTTCATTCATTCACTTATTAATTTTATTTTGTCCTAAGGTTCTATATTTTGGGGACTTTGATCATATGAGAATTAATACAATCTACTATATGTATTCCAGAAACTTAGGTGATGTAATTCTCTTTCCCCTAAAATATCAAAACAAAGTAAATAACAGTTCAATTTCTTCATTGTAAGCATAGAAGAAATCCCATGGTAGATGAAATTAATCTACACTTCTCTGAAAGTAATGCTAAAATGTTTTTGTGGGACAGCATAGAAATAACCTTCCAAGATAAAAATTTACAAAGGTAAGGATTATATTTTCTCCTCACTAACCTTGTTTCCTTTTTTTTTTTTTTTAAATATATTTTATTGATTTTTTACAGAGAGGAAGGGAGAGAGATAGATAGTTAGAAACATCAATGGGAGAGAAACATCAATCAGCTGCCTCCTGCACATCTCCCACTGGGGAGGTGCCCGCAACCCAGGTACATGCCCCTGACCGGAATCGAACCTGGGACCTTTCAGTCCGCAGGCCGACGCTCTATCCACTGAGCCAAACCGGTTTTGGCCCTTGTTTCCTTTTAATATTCTATCATGGATCAATTATTCATAGCGTTTCCCAATTCCTTATTGAATTCATTTTAATAAGGAAGTCAAATGCCTTTTGAAGCTTATGATTCACAAAGTAAATTAATTTTATTTTTACTTAACCTCTAAAAATATACCAAAGTGTTTTTATCTCACATGGGAGACTGATTAAAGTCCCACACAGTCAGGACATAGGATAATCTGTCCTCTTCTTGGATATCATGGTTCATTGGCATCGTATTAATCTAACTCTAGGTAATCAAAAGGAAAAATTCATGTATAACAATAATCAAAGAAATCCTATATCTGGACTGTCCTTTTATTACTGCTTATCTAACCTTTCCTAATCCTGTTACAACACTCTTAAGATGATATTTAGGACTCATATTCAAAATGAGTTGACAACAATATTTTGTATTATAACATTACATTTTATTTTAATAATGTCACAACACAATGTCTAAAATTAAATTTTTCTCTCAAACAAAGATTGAGTTATAAAAACTAAAAGAGAGCCCTAGCTGGTTTGGCTCAGTGGATAGAGCATAGGTCTGTGGACTGAGGAGTCCAGGGTTTGATTTTGGTTAAGAGCACATGTCCCCTTACAGGCTAGATCCCCAGTATGGAGGGTGCAGGAGGCAACCAACCAGTGATTCTCTCTCATCATTGATGTTTCTATCTCTCTCTCTCCCTCTCCCTTCCTCTCTAAAATCAGTAAAAATGTTTTTTAAAAAACACAGAGAAATATAAGGAAAGAGTATATTTTTGTGTTTTATTAAATTAAATGGTTGAATCTAATACTTAAATAGAACTGTGTTGGTCACTGGATTTCTGAAGATCTATGACAAGTTTCCTATTCTTAAGTAACTCACAAATTATGACAGCAAAGTCATGGAAAAGCAGATCATTTTTAAATAGCACAGTATACGCAATGATAAGTATTAACATAAGTGAAAGGAATCTCACTAAAAGTGGCCAGAGAGCAGAGAAGATGCAATCTAGCCTTCTTATGATGCAAGGGAG